TTCACCATGTTGCAGAGGAAACTAGGCCCCTTCCAGACCTTAGAGTCATGTCCTCCAATGGCATCATCCTGTCCTGTGCCCAGTATTGCCCTTGTGGATTGTGAGAGTTCTTTGGGCTTCAGGGAAAGTGGCCATTCTGCCCAGGGTCCACCACCTTGCCCTGCTTTGGTCCTCTGCCTCCTAAGACTCAGCCTAAGATGGGACCCTACTCTTTACTCCTCCACACTCTGATTTTGACCCCAGAACCCCTCTCTTAACAGCTCCTAGGTCTTTGGGTGAGCAACTCAAAGTCCCTGCTGATATTTCTGTTGCTCTTAGCGGAGGTCAAGGGGGCAGCCAGCTTTCCATCCTCCTCCAGCATTACCTGACTCTAAGCTACCAGGTTACTCTTGAGGCCAGCCACCAGGATGATGTTAAGGGGTCTTAATTTTCTCCTGAAGCTACTGGGCGACACTCTCAAAGGATGTTCTGTTGGTGATATCAAACAGCAAGAGGCCTCCAGCAAAAGTTCTGACAATAGGAGCAGCTCACTGACCTCAGCACCCAAGAAGAATCCATCTTTAGTTTTTTAAGTCCTGTGTTGAGGACAGAAGGGGACAAAGGAATTGGGGGAGTTTAATTTGAAAGAACTGAGGTAGTCAAAAGACCTCTTTTCCTAAGTCAGCTATGTTAAAGGTGAGTGGCTTCCTCTACCTCAATCTCATTGTCCTATCTGTATATCGAGGAGTTTTTTCATTCATTCAGCAAGTTTTTTTCCCTATATTTTTATTGGTGCATTATAATTTTACGTAATAGTGGGATTCATTAATATGTATTTATACATGCACATGATATAACAATATAATTTGGTCAGAATCATTCCCCAATATTTTCCCTTTCCCTCCCCGTCTCCCTCCACCTGGCCACTTTCTCAGTAAGTGTTTATAAGCTGTGCTCATGCCTGACCTAGACAGGAGGATACAATGATGAATAAAACACCCAGTGAACATTCCTGCCATTGGAGGCAGACAAAAGCAGCAAAAGAAAGGTCTACATGACTGGGGGAGGGGGCTGAGCAATTGGAGAGAAATATTTGAGCTGAGATTTGAGGGATCCAGGTGAAAGGGCTGGAATCTCTTCCAGGGAAATATATAGTGTAGTGAGGTAGGTTAAGCCCAGTCTTGCAGTGCCTTGGAGGCCTCAGAAGGATGATATTTATACCCATATCATAGAAGTGCATCCTCGCTGGTCACCAGTGGTTCAGGAGGCTGAGGCATGAAGATCACAGGTTCAAAGCCAGCCTCAGCAACTTAGCGAGACCCTGTCTCAAAAAGGGCTGGGGATATGGTTCAGTGGTTAAATGCCCCTGGGTTCAATTCCTGGTACCAAATAAATAAATAAAAGAATCAACGTGGCTAAAGCTCAAATTGCAAGATTTGAAGAGAGTAGCTAAAGATGAGCAGAAAGGGAGCCTTAGGGTGGATAGCCCTCAGGTTTGGTAGTGTCACTTTGTCATTAGAGAGTCAACAGAGAGATGCCTTTGGGGGTAAAGCAAAGAATATGCATTCAAGGGAGAATGCAGGCCACTGCCAAGAGTGAGAGATGCCTTTTGGGGGTTCTAGTCTTCTTTTAAAGGAAATTTGGCAAGGGATGGGTATAGAAAGGTATGTAGGAATGATAGCAGTCTGGTGGTTGGTCAGTGTCTAGATCTTAGGCTGATGTGGTCTTTGTTATATGTGATCGATAGATAGCACTGGAAAGTTCCCTAAATTAGAGGTTCCTCGAAATTTCTTTGTTAGATCTATTTATTGGGGGCTTAATTAACAGTGTACAGACAATGTACAGATTTCTCAGGAATCTGGGGAATAATAAGTCTGCAAGAAATTGGAAGTGACAGGCCTGGAAAAGCATGCAGAACTTCCGAATTAAAATCTTATTTCCTGTCCTTCCTTTATGTCTCCTTTCTACCTATTTTTAAATTTCTTCTATCTTACCTCAGCTTCATTCTGGCTTCTCACATGTATACCTGAAGCCCTCAGTTCGGTGCCCATGCTTAGGCTATTTGTGTGTGGCAGGGTATGGGAGAGTAGTGTGGGAGGCTCAGCAGGCCAACTCTGGGCTTCCCACTCCTTTTTAGACTGAGCAACATCTTTCTTAACTGTTGGGCTCCCACAAAGATCCCATCATACAAGAGGATTCTGATGCTTAAAACTTGCATATAAACAGGAAGTTTGGCTGGTTGCCTTGGCACACACCTGTAATCCCAGTGGCTCAGGAGTCTGAGGCAGGAGGTTCACAAATTCAAAGCCAGCCTTAGCAAGTTAGTGAGGCCCTAAGCAACATAGCAAGACCCCATCTCAGAATGAAAAATAAAAAGGACTGGGGGTATAGCTCAATGATAAAATGCCCCTGGACTCAATCCCCAGTACCAAAATGAAAAACAGTGCCAGGCCGTGGGAAGCCAGGTAAGTTTTAGCTAAGGACTGATTTTGCTGTTTGCATGGTAAAACCTTGCTTAGCTGCTGGTGTGGAAAGTGGAATTGGAAGCAGGCAGGAGGGGGCCAGCCAGGAAGTTGCTGTAGTTGTTTGGACTAATGGTCAAGTAATAAGGATTAAGAGGTCCTCCTGAGGAAGAATTAGTCCAAGGGTTGTTTTTGTTGTAATTGACACAATATCTTTATTTATTTTTATGTGGTGCTGAGGAGCAAACCTAGTGCCTCCCATGTGCTAGGCAAGCGCTCTGGCACTAAGCTGTAACCCCAGCCCAGTCAAAGGGTTTTAAGGCAGGATAAGGGCTGGCTACAACAAGGATGGGATGAGTTCTGAGACAGAAGGAGCCACCTGGGATGAGTTCTGAGACAGAAGGAGCCATTCTGGTACCTGCATGGGATGAAACTGGGAGGAGGAGGGTAGATCTGTACTAAAGGTCTTAAAAATACCTGGAGTTAGGAAAGTCCCTCAGAGGCCTTCCAATGTGGGCCCCATATTTTATAAGTAAGATCACTGAGATATGGAGCAGTCAGTGGGCAGGCTAGGACTCAGACCTGTGGTGGTGGCTTAAAAGACTACAGAGGTCACAGCCCCCATATGCTAGGCTGTCTCCTTCACTGCTGGTCTGAGTCACAGCCCCAGGCCTGTAGGAACAGAGGTTGAACAAGGAAAAGCTTGCCTTTCCTAACACTAGGTCTTCCAGCACAGCTGGGGTAAAGTGTCCCAGCCAGGAGCTCAAGGCAGGTTCTCCTACACGTGTCATCACAGACAGCACCTGCTCTGTGCCAGGGCCGGATCCCAGGAAATTGGGGGGCATAATAAAATGAGATTGGCCAGGGGCTGGGGTTGTAGCTCAGTGGTAGAGCACTTGTCTAGCATGTGCCAGACCCAGGGTTCCAACCCTAACATTGCCAAAACAATCTGGCTGCCATAGTGCATGCCTTTAATCCCAGTGACTTGGGAGACTGAGGCAGGAGAATCCCAAGTCTGAGGCCAGTCTGGGCAATTTAGGGAGACTCTGTCTCAAAAAGTGCTGGGAGGGGCTGGGGATATAGTTCAGTTGGTAGAATGCTTGCCTAATATGTACAAGTTCCTGGTTCAGTCCCCAGCAATATTAAAAAAAAAAAAAAAGTGCTGAGAATGTAAAGCACCCCTGGGTTCAGCCCCCAGAACTGCAGAACAACCTGAAAACAAGACTGGTGGGCTGGGGGTGTGGTTCCGTGGTAGAGCGCTTGCCTAGCATGCATGAGGCACTGGGTTTGATCCCCAGCACCACATATAACTAAATAAAGGTATCATGTCCATCTACAACTAAAAATATTTTTAAAAATAATGAAAAACAAGACTGGCCATACCCACTGATAGTTGTTGAAGCTGAGGTATAGGTAGAAGGAAGTCTTTATTTTATACTCTGGACTATCTTTAATCTTTTATTTATTTTATTTTATTTAAAAAAATATTTATTTAATTATAGATTAACACACAGTAGCTTTATTTTTATCTGGTGCTGAGGATCAAACCCAGTGCCTCACACATGCAAGGCAAGCGCTTTACCACTGAGCTATAGCCCCAGCTCAATCTTTATTTTTTTAAAAAATTGAAAAGCCCAGGGCTGGGGATGTGGCTCAAGCGGTAGCACGCTGACCTGGCATGTGCGCAGCGCTGGGTTCGATCCTCAGCACCACATACAAACAAAGATGTTGTGTCTGCCGAAAACTACAAAACAAATATTTTAAAAAATTCTCTCTCTCTCTTAAAAAAAAAAAAAAATGAAAAGCCCAGTATTGGGGCTGGGGATGTGGCTCAAGTGGTAGCGCGCTCGCCTGGCATGCGTGCGGCCCAAGTTCGATCCTCAGCACCACATACAAACAAAGATGTTGTGTCTGCCGAAAACTAAAAAAAATAAATATTAAAAATTCTCTCTCTCTCACCTCTCTCAAAAAAAAAAAAGAAAAGCCCAGTATTACCCTGCCCAAGGCAGCCTCTCCAAGAGAATTTAAAAAAACAGCCCTGCCCTTGAAGAGTGACAGTCTAGCAGGGGAATGAGATCCAGACATAGGAGACTGAGACAGGAAGATGGCAAATTTTTTTTTTTTAAGAGAGAGAATTTTAATATTTATTTTTTAGTTTTCGGAGAACACAACATCTTTGTTTGTATGTGGTGCTGAGGATCGAAACCTGGCCGCATGCATGCCAGGCGAGCACGCTACCGCTTGAGCCACATCCCCAGCCCCAGGAGGATGGCAAATTTGAGGCCAGTCTCAGCAACTTAGATCCTGTCTCAAAAAATAAAAAGGGCTATGTATGTAGCTCAGTGGCAAAGCCCCCAGGTCAAACCCCCCCCCCAAAAAAAAGGAAGCAGCGCTTGGTCAGAGAGGGCTTTGGTTATTGTTCTTTTCCTCTGTTCCCATCTCTGCTCTTGGCTCAGCTCCTCCTGCTGCTTCAAAATAATAATAATAATAATAATATCTGACTCTGGGGATTTAACAAATCAGATCTGGTCACTCACCCCAAAAAACAAACATAAAAGGTAATGGCAAAAAGCATGAAGGAACTTTAATCAGTATAACTACATCAAAAAGACAAGAGGATACATGTCCTTAGCCCAGACAGAGACTTTGAGGTTTTATAGGGGAATAAAGACAAGGTATGTATATGGGGTTGCATAGTCAGAGGCTTGTCACAGCTGCCAAAGCAGGTGATCTTGATTAGGTGTGATTTATCCATCATTATCTCAGGATGGGTCAGGTGGCCCTCAGATAAGAAAGTTGCCTTTGCCTAAGGACGGGAGGTAGCTTCCACTCATCACATGTTTATTGAATCAGGCCTTGTTCCTATAATCCAAGATGACTCAGAACAAAGAGGATGGATGTAAGATGGAGATGGAGATGCAAAATCTTTAATCCTGCTTTTAGCTACCTGACACTTATAGGCAAAAGTGAGGAGTCTTAAAGGTTGTTTTGTTTTGTTTTGTTTTGTTTGGCACTGGGGAATTGAACTCAGGACACTCAATCACTGACCATATCCCCATCCCTTTTTTGCATTTTATTTAGAATAAAATACTGAGTTGTTTAGTGCCTTGATTTTGCTGAGGCTGGCTTTGAACTCTCTATCCTCCTGCCTCAGTCTCCCAAGCCACTGGGATCACAGAGGTGCGCCATTGCGCCCAGCTTAACTTTTTGTTACATCTTCACAGCACTTACAACTGGAAATCGTTTAGTTCATTATTTGTATTTTTTTCTCTCTCTTCCACTAGAATGCCAGCCCTAAAGGGCTTTTCAGTTGTGGCTACTGCTATATCTCCAGAGATTCTGACAGAGTAGATGCTTGTTCAGAAAAATTTTGATGAAGGAATGAAAATATGCCCTAAAACAAATACTTTCCCTCTCTTGGCCTCATATGTGAAATGGGGATAATTGTACAGACCTTAGAGGGTTACTACAAGGATAAGTGAGGTTATTTTAATTATTTGTTTATTCAGCGGTACTGGGGGTAAAATCGAGGAACACTATTCTATCACTGAACTAACATCCCTGCACCCTACCTTTTTTTTTTTTTTAGACAGAGTTTCATTAAATTACTGAGGCTGGCCTCAAACTTGTTGCTTCAGCGCCCCCCTGTAGTAGGGATTACAAACCTGTACACTGTTCCAGCCTAGTGAGGTTGTTTTTAAAAAAGGGAGGAACACATTCACAGAGAGGTCAACCCTAGACCAGCCTCCATGGGAGGAAGCTAAGAAACAACCTAACTGAAAACTTCCCAAGAGGGCTGGGGCTGTGGCTCTGGCCCAGTGGTAGAGCACTTGCCTCAAATATGTGAAGCACTGGGTTCAATTCTCAGCACCGCATATAAATGAATAAAATAAAGGTCCATCAACAACTAAAAACAATATTTAAAAAAAAACCTCCCAAGAACTCAAGGAAGGAAGGATTATCAATCACGTGTTACTGAGGAGGAAACTGAGGCTGAGGTGAGGTAACTGGCCCAACTCACAAAATGAGTTAAGTGGTTATGGTCTTTTTACTGTGGCAATTGTCCATGCTCTGCTCATGCCCACTGGCACAGTGACATACTCTCTATGCCTGCTGAGATCTGTCCAACATAAGCACCATTTCTTCCATGAAGTCCACAATAGTCTCACCTAGCAAATTAAATTCTTCAGGAGGCAGACATTTATTATGGGGCATTCTTCAAGTCCCTACCTGGTTGGGGAAGGAAGGGAAGGAGGGAGAACTTGGCTGTGATATTGTCACAATAATGTTCTCAATGAAGTCTTTAGATAGAGAGGGATGAATCTGGGTTTGATCTTCAGAGTTGGGAAGAGAGGGCAAGGCCTTTATCCTCCCACCCGTAGGTGGAAATTGGATATGGACTGCCCTTTAGGGGTGGACAGTTCCCAGAGAGTATTTCAAATCATGTCTGTCACCTCGAAGTACTCCCAGCAGCAGGGGTAGGGTGGTAGGTGGGAGCATAGATCCCTCTGCCCTTGGTGGCAGGGTGGTAGGTGGGAGCATAGATCCCTCTGCCGTTGGTGGCTCATCGTAGTGTCCACTGTGTGCTCAGCATGCTTGCTACACATTCATGTTCAGCCCTGCCTCCCACACTCATTTAGCCCCTGGGCTTGTGGGAACACTGGGCAGCAACCTTAGATTGAGGCCACATCTGATTCCATGCCCAAACTCTTTCTAGCCTGAGGACCTAAGGAGGCTCTAAAAGCCAGTCTTGTACTGGAATTCCCCACACATTGCCAGAGCAGCAGCGTCCAGAAGCTAAGCCCAGGAATGCTTCCAGAAACAGCCTAAGCCAAGAAAGATACTGGAGGGGATGACAGCTTTTGTTATTCAGTTCTTAGAATGGCAGACTCTGAGTGAGCACACCTATAATTTCATTCATGGTCACAAATTCCCTGTTCATCTTTTATAAGCCTTATTGTCAGATGAGAAACTGAGGCTTAAGGAAAGGACACTGCATAATTGGTTTCTTAAACCTTAATCTAGAAAGGAGTTGAGCTAAACCCCCAAAATGCAGGAGGCATGAGGTTGTCAAGATTCTGTTGAAGCCAGGCATGGTGACTACCGTTGTGATCCCAGTGGCTTAGGAGGCTAAGGCAAGAGTATCGGATTGCGAGTTCAAAGCCAGCCTCAGCAAAAGCAAGGCACTGAACAATTCAGTGAGACCCTGTCTCCAAATAAAATACAAAATAGGGCTGGAAATGTGGCTCAGAGGCCATGTACCCCTGAGTTCAATCCCTGGTAACAACAACAACAACAAAGATTCCATTGAAATTAACCCTCCTCATTTGCCCTCCAAAGATACTAACACTCTGTCCCACCAGGGAATCTGAAGTCTGCTCTACTTTAACACCTTCTCTCTCAAGTCAACACTGGCATGAGCCTGGGTGCTGTTTCCTGCTACAGGACCTAGGGATTTGGGCCCTGTGAATGAGCCGGACACCCCCCCAGTCCTCTTCCAGTTTGATGTCCCCCTGCTGCAGGGCTTGCTGGATACCAGTGGTGAGGACGTCAAAGGCCAGAGCCACATTGCAGTTGTTTTTGGCTGAAGTTTCCACAAAGGCCATACCCAGGGAGGCAGCCAGCTCCTCTTCCTCTTGGGTAGAGACACAACGGGTGCTTTGCAGGTCACTCTTGTGGCCAACCAGCAGGAAGATCACCTTGTTGGGCCCCTGAGTGGACATGACCTCCTGGTGCCAGTCTGGGATGTGTTCAAAAGACTTCCTGTTCGTCACATCAAAGACCAGCAGAACTCCCACCACATTCCTGTAGAAGGACCTGGTGATGCACCTGGGGAGGGGGACGGTAAGTTAGGAGAGCCTGAGGACACCAAGATATCCCCAGAGATTGGACCTTCTCCCTAGGACCCACAGAATGCCTCACACCCCTCTCTAGCTCATTCACAGCCCTGTGCTTCTTGACAGGTCAGCGCGTCTGTCCCTCTCCCAACACTGGGACACTCCCCAATCTGGAAGCAAGTCTTGAGTTACAAACTCCTAACCATTTCTTCAATCCTGGAGGAGCCTTGGTGATTCCCTGTTCTCCATTCTCTGCCCGACAAATTCCTACTCATCCTTCAGGGCCAACATAAATTCTCATATTCTCTCTCTCTCTCTTTTTAATTTCTGCAGTTCTGAGGATTGAACTCAGGGCCTCTCACATGTTATGCAGTTGCTCTAACACTAGGCTATGTTCCCAGGACTTTTTATTTTGAGACAGGGTTCTGCTACACTGCCAAAGCTACAAACTTGCAATCCTCCTGCCTTGGCTTCCCCAGTAACTAGGATTACAGGTCTGTGCCATCAGGCCAGGCGCCAATCTCTCTTCCTTTGACACTCCCCTTTGGGCTATGGGAATTCTGGCACCCAGGTCATACATGAGTTGAAAGAGGGGTGCAAATCCCCGAAAAACTGAATGTTCCTCTAGCACTGGGGGCTGGGGATGGGCTCAGAGGTAAAGTGCTTACCTAACGACGCTGTGGGACTTGGCCCACACGCGGTACTTGTAAGATTGAAGTATAGAAGGGGGGGGGGGTCTGGCCAGAGCGATCTGCAGAGACCCAGGGAGGGATGAAGTGGGGGATGTGCCTGGCCAGGGGCCCCTTCCCCCCTCCCCCGAAACCAGAGGTCCCTCCGTGTTGCGCCTCCCTGCCCACCGCCCCAGCGGCCGCACCTGAAGCGCTCCTGTCCTGCGGTGTCCCACAGCTGCAGCTTGACCCTCGGCCCGGCAGTCAGCTGCAGCGCGCGGCTGTAGAACTCGACGCCCACGGTGGGCTCCGGCTCGGACTCGGTCTCGAGCCCGGGCGCCCCCGCCACGTAACGTCGCAGCAGCGACGTCTTGCCCACCGCTGCCTCTCCAAGCAGCGCGATGCGAAACTGGTAGCGGCAACCCCAGGTCTCCATAGCCAAATCCCGATACGCCGCCCTCGCGGCTATTTGTCTGGCCCCGCCCCTGCCCGTCGGGTCCTCCTCCTTCCCGGGATCGCTGCTTCCCGCCCTGAGCGAAGGGTCACCAGCCGACAGAGGTCGGGGGAGCCTGGGACATTTTCAACACAGAGAAGGTCAGACACCAAGGAGTTGGGATGGAGGAAGTCATTTCTTCTGTAAAAAGTTTTCCCTTCTGGAGCTGGGGTTGTGGCTCACCTAGCACGCGCGAGGCCCCAGGTTCGATCCTCAGCACTACAAATAAATAAATAAATAAAGGTATTGTGTCCAACTACAACTAAAAAATTTAAAAAATAAATAGATAAAAAAGTTTTCCCTTCTGTAAAATAGGGCTAATAATCCCTACTCCACCGGATAGAGAGATTAAGCTGGATAGTGGGGAGGAGGAATACGGAAAGCTTGGCCAAGCAAGCACTGATTGGCCTGAGAGATCAAGGGTGCTGGAACGTCCATTCATTGATCCACTCACTGGAGTGGTGTCTCTCTCCAGCCCCCTGCCCTGCTGGTTCTGGACTGAGGACATCACTGTGGAGCCCCTTTCCTGGAGCCCTATTAGACCTGCCTGGGGCATCCAGCTCAAGGTTCAGGTTCAATGTTAAACAGTTCCCCTGCTTCTACCATGCAGGTCAGTGCTGGAGAGCAGGCTTCCCAGAGGGAATCTGAACAAACACTGCCTGAAAGCAAAAGTAACCAAAACAGGGAAAGACCTTGACGAATCAATGGTGCTTTTTATTATCAAGTAGCTGAGGGACACATTTTCAGGGGAGAAAATGGCAACTGGTTACAAGAGGGGGTCTGATTTTTTTTTTTTTTTTAATAGGGTTTAAGTGAGACTTGACTCACAGCAGAGTTCCTAGGTTGGGCAGTTAGGGGGAACAGTTGTCCAAGTTCAAAGCCTTTGTTGCTGGGAAATGGTGAAAGTCCAAAGCCCATTGTTTTCCTTCTGTCCCTGAACCCATTGTCCTTCTTTCTCCCTGGGGGTTGTTTTCTTTTTTCCTGGGGATTGTTGTCTTCCATGTCTTTCACTGCCATCTGCAACTCTAGTGGTACAGCTGGTCCGATGACATTTATGAAGCCAGATGATCATTTCTTTGTGCTTTATGTAGTAACCCTTTGTATATGGGGATGGAGAGTGGGGATTGTACCCAGGGGCCCTCCACCACTGAGATACATCCCCAGCCTTTCTGAATTTTGATACACGGTTTCTCTAAATTGGTAGAGGCTGACCTTGACCTTAGGATCCTTCTGCCACAGCCTCTGCAGCAGGTGGGATTACAGGCTTGTACCAGTGTGAGGAGTCTTACCAATTTGTTTTTGCAAATTGGTGGTTTGAGGAACTATTAAAATCATCATGTCATTATATTCTTTCTTTGCACAACCTTGTGAATAGGTGCCACTATTCTGCTCATTGTTACAGAGGAAGAAAAAAACAGACTCAGAGAAGTTAAATATCTAATTTAGGCTCACTCAGCAAGGAAGACAGACTAGCTGCCAAGTTTACTCAAGGCCAAAGCTTTGTTTACTCTTTCTGTTTCTAACTGGAGAGTTTGGGGATCTGAGAAAAGCCAGGTTTTTCCTGACTGATTCTAAACATCTCAGTGGGAAGCCATTTTATCAGTTTTCCAAGTAATTCTGGCCAGAGCAGCTGGGCAAAGGCAGAGCTATAGGAAATTGACCTTGGAAATGCTGCTTGAACCCAGCCTCCCTGAAGCCTTTCTGGACAGCTCATGTGACAGTGCACTCACTGTCAGCATCTTGAACTTCCTCCCTCTCCCAGACCCTCCAGCTGTGGGTTGGGGTCATGTGTCTGCCTATGATTGCACCGGCCAGCAGAATCTAGACATCAGCTAGTCTGCCCTAGAATCACTGTGTGACCCAAGTTGCAAGCTATTTCCCTTCTCTGAACCCTGTTTTTTTTCTGCTAAGCAAGGCAAATCATGGACCCACCTTTCAGGGTGGTTCTGGAGGCACTGTGTGTTGCAACAGCGAAAGTTCTGCACATTCTCATCAGATAGATCTGGGTTGTAGTTCTGTCCTGGAGAAGAGACATTTCCAGAGAAGAATCCAAGGAGTTCCCAGAGAGGAGGGGAAATTTGACTCAGGACCAGCAGGGTTCTTGGGATATGTGAAGGAAAAGAATTTCAGCTTAAGTCAGACAAAGCATAAACAAAGGTTTATTTAGGAAGTAGACAGGCTTTCAGGGGAGAATGAGGGTTATCTGGAGTGAGAAGACCCTTCTTAGGTTGGGATGAGTTGAATATTTATAGAAGCACTGTAGTTAGTCTCTGGATTGGAGGTGGAGCTGCACAATTTTTGGCGTGTTTTTCCTGGGTTTGGGCATTTTCCTCGTTTTACAAGGGCACTGACCAAGGGCATGTCACTCAAGATTTACAACTGTGTTTTCTGCATCTCATGGCTTGAGTGCATTTCCTTTAAGACTCATTATTTCCACTGGGGCTCAGGGTTAGAGCATTTGCCTAGCATGTGTGAGGCTCTGAGTTTGATTCTCAGCACTGCATATAAATAAATAATAAAATAAAGATCCATGAGCAGTTAGAAAAATATGTTTTAAAAAAGACTCATTATATCACTCTTTTTATCCTAAATCCCTATCTCATTCAGCCCAGACTTTGGTCCCTTAATCTTAAGGGTTGGTGAGGGGTGAAGATCCTTCAATGACTGATTCAGGCTGGCAAGGGGCAATGACCCTGCCTAGTCAGGAAGCTAAAGTATCACCTGGGTGTGGTGGTGCATGCCTGTAATCCCAGAGGCTCCAGAGATTGAGGCAAGAGGATCGCAAGTTCAAAGCCAGCCTCAGCAAAACTGAGGTGCTAAGCAACTCAGTGAGACCCTGTCTCTAAATAAAATACAAAATAGGGCTGGGGACGTGGCTCTGTTGCTGAATACCCCTAAGTTCAATCCCCAGTAACCCCCAAAATACTCACACAAAAATAAAACAAAGAATACAATCAATAATAAATGCTGAAGAGGATAAGGGGAAAAAATGAACATTTTTACACTGTTGGTAGGATTGTAAATTAGTACAGCACTATGGAAATAAGTATGGAGGTTCCTCAAAAGCATGGGCTGGGTACTGTAGTGCATGCCTGTAATCCTAATGACTCTGGAGACTGAGGATGGAGGATGGTAAGTTCCAGCCAGCCTCAGCAATTTAGGGAGGCCCTAGGCAACTTAATGAGACCTGTCTAAAAATAAAGAGCTGGGGATGTCAGTCATCACTGACTTACCTCTCTTCCACCATACAGAAAAATGAACTCAAAATAGATCTTTTTTTCTTTTTGGGGGTGGTGTTGCAGGGGGTGGGGTTTGCAGGGAATTGAACCCAGGACCTCATTCATGCTAAGTACACAAACCATCACTGAGCTACACCCCCAACCCCTCAAACTAAAAACCTTTGCTATTAACACCCTGGCTGGTGTGTTGAGACCATATGGAAGGGGTAGGGGCCAATGGTTGAATCTGGGAGACTAGTTGAGAAATTACTGCTACCACTCAGGTGAGCAGGTGAGTGACAGTGGTAGTATCTGTGGAGGCAGTAAGAAACTGTCTTGATGCATTTTTAAGGCACAGCACATAGGATTTGCTGACGAATTGAACATGGAATATTACAAAAAGACTGGAGTAGAGGGTCTCTTCAAGGACATGGCAAAACGGGGAAGAGCAGCTGTTGTGTTGTAAGAAGCTCATTAGACCTCTAGGTGATGTCAAGGAAGATTCAGGGGGTTAAGTTTGGAGCTTGGGAGAGAAGTGGAGCTGGAAATGCACATTTGAAAGTCATGAGTTTCAAATCCAATCAGAATCTGTTGTCTTCTCCAAAAAATGGGAATAATAGTAGAACCTACTGTTTTGTTTTGTTTTTTCTTTTGAACTAAGCTCTTCTTAGGTTGCGGAGGTAGGTCTCCAGCCCCACAGATAGCTGAAACGCCCTGCTAACCTAGTTATTAAGGTGTACGTCAGGTGAAAAATTAGCAGATTAAGTTGCTTGGCAACTACTATTTGTATTTTTATGTTGACGCTTACTCATTTATTCCATGGGTAAAATATAGCACACAAACATACTGTAGTGACTGTGTGATCTCTGGGCTTGACTTATCACTCACTAGAGAGCCATTCCTCAATTTCCTTTAGAAAATGAGCTGAACTATGATACCTACACACAGAATTGTTACGAAAACTAGATGAGATAACCGAGCTCAGTGTTAACAGAAGGCACTTAGCAAAGTTATATGTTAGCGGATGAGACAAGCCTTAAACAATGCATCAATCTGAGTTTTCAATCGCCTCCTTTGATAAGCACTCCCAAGACCTCCACTCCAAAACCTCACTGCGCCCCTGCGGAAACCCTCTCAGTTGCTACTCCGGGTATCCCAAGGCGCGCGGAGTCAAGCCCTTTCACAGCTCAGCGGGATAATCGAAGGTCGCTCCAGAGACTGAATTTGGAGGGCAAGACCAGTAAGCTTCAGTTGTGAGCCCAAGGCCCTGGACTGGATGTGGGCGATCCGAGGATCCGGAATCGAGCTGAAGGAACCGCTCGGGCCCGGCAGAAACCACACCCGGCCCGCCACGCGTATGGGGCTGCGCCTGGGCGCGTGGACTACAGGTCCCAGCAGCCCCGCGCTGCGCTCAGCCCCTACGGCGCAGGCGTAATCGCAGACTGGGCATATATAAGCCCGCTGCCGAGGCCCGTGCGTCCTTTCTCCTGTCCCTGGCGCTGGTGGTGTCTGGACGTGGAACCATGCGGCCGGTACCCGTAGCCGCCTTAGCTCGCTTCCATAGGCCCGCACTCATCCGGGCTGCCTCTAGAGACTGCGGGATGTAGAGTGCCAGGCCGGGCCTCTTGGCCTGGGCTGCCGAGGCCCTGAAGGCCACGACGGCCGCCTGCGCAGTGAGACGGCACCCGCGGGGCGGTGTCCTCTTCCCGTCTCCGCTGGCGCAGCGGTACCCTGGCGCCTGACCCGTGGATGAGGCGAGCGGGTGGCCGGGTGCTGGAAACGAGTTGGGTATGTAATTAGGCACTTGGGGTTGAAGTTTT